AAAAGACAGAAGGGAGGGAGGAGGAAAGAAAAAAGAAAAGAGAAAGAGAATGAAGTTGGTTTCACGTGGATTGTTTTTAATAGAAACCTTTCAATCACTTTTTTTTTTAACAAAATGAAGAAAGCAAAATTTATTGTTGCTAGTACATAAATAATTGTAATTTTAATTTTCATCAGATGTGTTAACAAGAAAGCAAGACAGATTGGTTGCTTTAATTCACTTCCTCCATACCCCTCATCCTTAACAGCTTTTAAGTAACTGATTCTGTTGTAATGAACTCAAGAGAATCATGATGTAGGAAGAAATGCTAAGACAACAGGAATTTAAAACAGTATTACAGACTATAATCACCTTAATTAAATAAATATATATTTAATCCACATTTTAACACACACATAAGCAAAGAGCAAAACCAGCCATTAAGTCATAGTTTAGATATATACGTACTAAATACATATAATCATTTGTAAGACGAACATTTTGCATTTCAGTGAAAGATTCTTATGTTTCACTATACACATTCAGTGGTATAACAATATATAGTGCATCAAATTCAATAAGAATAAAGAAAAATAATAAACATATAGCAAGACACTATAATAGCAATAGTTCTGAGTAATTATTATCCAATTGGTCTTGCATTTATACGAAGCCTGAAAGTATTTTACAACCAAGAAATAAATCTGTTTTTATTGCCATAATTTTCCTACTTATTTATAACATCACTGCAACTAACTTCCTTCCTTCCCTCCTTCTTTCCTTCCTTCCCTCTCTCCCTCCCTTCCTTCCTTCCATTTCCTGCCTGGTAAAGAAAGGAAAAGCACATAACATTGTTGTGATCTAATAAAGTAACTGAAGCCAAAAAATTAGGACAGGTCAGAAAGAACTGAAATTATTTAGAAACAAAGGAAAACACACTTAGCTATTTAAAACATTCCAAACACTAAAAAGGGCTTGCCTGTTTTAATTGTGAAATATTAAAAGCAACAGATATATTCTAAGGTGTTTTTTTTTAATGTAGGCACATAAAAACACTGCTTAAAAGCTAAGTATTTTGAATGGAGAGAGAAAGCAGACTGCTTCAAGAAATGAGAAAGATATAACATGAAGTGACTAATATTACCATTGGAAGAGGATATTACTGGTCACCACAAAAAAGGTACCTAACACGACAGCCTTCAGGATTGATACCATTTTTAGTGCTAGAGGAGACCAGGGAGACGTCCAGGTAGATGATTAGCAATGCTATCGCCAAAAAGGACCTCTCCTTTAAAAAATTTCCCTCTCCTCCCATGGTCTTCAAATATTAAAAGATTTTGTCTATAAATCTAAATAAATGCCCATATCTTATTAAACAAAAATATGTAATAAAAAATAGAGAGCAATAAAGTAACTTACATCAGGTTTTCTAAAATACTGAAAATAGCTTCTGACTCCTCACGTGTGGAACCCTAAAGGTTGAGAATCAATTTGCTCATTTTACAAGCAAGTACGTGGAGGCCTAGGAAGGTTAAATGGTAAACTTATTCTAAAAAAACAATAAGGTCCAAAAATTCAAAACGTTAATTGGTAGGTAATACAATTGGTATGAAAATAAATATGCACATTTTGGTAGTATTCATTCTATGTTTTATTTGTTTGGTTTTTACAGCATTTTGTTTTAGTTATTGAAAGGTTTCAGTTAAGACTATATCACACTTTAAAAATCACCATTTTTAGCTATTAAATAGTTTGTGAGATGTAAGCGCGTGCAGGTGGGTTTATAAACCAAACTCTTGTATTATTTATTTACAGTTTTTCATGTACCCTAGTGTCTGAATATTGCAGTCTACAAGACAATCTGCCATGAAGAAGGCAGCTAAATAAGGAGAACAATGATACCGTTTAGGACAATTGCCAAATTCTATTTCTGTCAATCATGTCTTCGTATTACCCATCACTGACCTGACAAAAAGTCAGTCTGGGGACTATCAATTTGTACCTACTCTGTGATGACATCAAGAGACGCACCCTAATGTCCCTGCCAATACACAGAGAAAAAGAAAGTCATTAAATCATAACCCCCCCACACATTTTTTTTTGGGTGTGTGAGGAAGACCAGCCCTGAGCTAACATCCAATGCCAATCCTCCTCTTTTTTGCTGAGGAAGACTGGCCCTGGGCTAACATCCGTGCCCATCTTCCTCTACTTTATATGGGACAGACGCCATACCATGGCTTAACAAGCGGTGCATTGGTGTGCGTCGGGGTCCGAACCAGCAAATCCCGGGCCACCGAAGCGGAGCTTGCGCACTTAACCGCTTGCGCTACCAGGCCAGCCCCCGCCCCCACAACATTTTTAATACTAAAAAGGCTAACATTACTTTTGAAAAGTAACCCAAGTCTAAGATACCACTTTTCAAACTGAGGGTCGTAATTCAATATGGGATCATGAAAGCAATTTAGTAGATCATAAATCAGTATTTAAAAAATTAAATAGAGGGGCCAGCCCCATGGCCTAGTGGTTAAGTGCACACACTCTGCTGCTGGCGGCCCAGGTCCGGATCCCGGCCGCACCGATACACCGCTTGTTAGGCCATGCTGTGGCAGCGCCCACATAAAATGGAGGAAGATTGGCACAGATGTTAGCTCAGGGCCAGTCTTCCTCACCAAAAAGAGGAGGATTAGTGTGGATGTTAGCTCAGGGCTGATCCTCCTCACAAAAAATAAATAAATAAAAAATAAATAAGAAATTAAATAGAAATAATTAAGTATAGAAAATAGACTATATTACAAGTAGTAAGGATAAGTATTGTTTCGTGAAAAAAATTTAATTATTTAAATATATTGCATATACATTTATAAATGCAAACAAACATATAAAACATACATATCTGTATGTGTAATGGGTCATAATTTGTATGTAGTTTTTACTGTAACTCAAAATATAAAAAGTATGTATCTATTGTTAAGAGTAGCTATTTTTCTTGTAAACCAAGAGGTGTTACCCATTCTTTATGATCTAAATTATCCATTTAGAGTTGGGCTTGGACAAAACCCTTCCAAAAAAAATCATAGTAAAAGAAAAATGCTAATAAACTTGATCTTATATATTTTTCATTTACAGCCTTAGATCATATGTAACAGCCTTTTCACAGTTTAAACACTCTTTCCACTGAAAATGCCTTACTCTTTTAGTCTCCTCTTCCTCCTTCTGCATGGCTGTCTTCTTCTTCTCTGTCTATACTGCTAGTTCCTCTTTATCCTCCTACATCCTAATTGTGGAAATCATCTTTCTCCTTGAACATTGCAACTCCTTGTGTACATTTTTTCCTTGCTGAAAATCTATCCATTTGTATGGTTTCAAATAATATTGCTATTTTGTCTCTGCCTTCCAAGTGCTTGTAACATAGTGAAAAGGACATGCATATATGCCATGCCCTTTCAGGGCTCTGTATTTTTGCATAAACTGTTCCTTCTGCCTAGGAAAAAGTTCAGCCATAAACGAAAAATGAGGAGGAAGATATAAAGTAAAGATATTTGCTTCTTTTTGTTTATTTATTTTTTGTTTGAAAGGAGTGACTTGCTAAGGAGACTAAACCAGTAAAAAGGGAAGTTAAAGATGCATTTATTCAATAATTCTTAGAGGAAATAATTATTGGAGCAAGGTCTTGAGGAGCTGAAATTCAGTGAGTAGTTGTAGAGATTTGCAATAGACTGAAGAGGGATATCTTTTCTACAAAGATGGGAGGAAAATAAGTAAGGGTAAGAATGCCTGTAGGTATTTTCGGGGGAGGGATGGCATATATCTCCATAAGTATTATACACCAACAGGAGTCAAAGGCCTTGATTTTTATTTGTAAAGTAGGAGGTGTAATGAGCATGATGGGAAGATGGTGAGGTCAGAGAATTCAAGAGAATGATGTAGGGTTTAGAAAAGCACTCTGGAGCATGGAAAGGGGCAATGATGAGAACCCATAGGCAGCTTTGAGGACATAATTAAGAATGCAACGATAGTAGTTCAAATTCATTCTGCTATATGATTTTTTTTTCCCAGCTGTCCTAAGCAGCCTGGGGATAGGCATGAAGAAGGTAAAAGGCTGAACTGGTCCACAACTGGAGTTTCACTAGGCAGAAGCAATACAAGGAAATGAGGGTAAAGGGATTAAAAAGCAAGGGACAACGGGAGTTAAAATGATGAATGGAGAAGCAAGTAATTCCAGGAGAGCCCTAATCAACTGGAACAGAATGAGAGAATCAAGGAACTTGAGCTCTGTGAGACGGAAAAACAGATGTTTAACAGAGTAGGAGCGTAAACATATATAAAACACAAAATTTAGGGGGCCGGGCTGGTGGCATAGTGGCTAAGTTCGTGTGCTCTGCTTCGGCGCCCGGGGATTGCAGGTTCTGATCCCAGGCACAGACCTACGCACTGCTCGTCAAGCCAAGGTGTGGCGCCATCCAACATACAGAGTGGAGGATGGGCACAGATGTTGGCTAAGTGCCAATCTTCCTCAGCGGGAAAAAAAAAATTTTTAAAGGGTCAGACATAAATAAATAGGCATCGTAATATTTTCTTCTCAATTTCAACAGCATCTTGTAGATAACACTCTGGAGACTGTGCTCTAGAGAGAGAGATAGGAGTGTTCCATGCAATGGAAAGGCATAAAACCGACATAATTAATAAGCTGGAACTGTCTAATACAGCTCTGAGAGAAATATCAAATCAAGTTTCTGACTCTTTAAAGCTTTGCACTGGGCTACAGTGAAGCTCTATCAAGGTACTGCTTCACACTGAGGTCCTGCAAGGGAATCTAGGCAATGATAACATAAGGCTTGAATATCAAGATACCAGATGCATTCCTACCTCAGCTAAGAAAATACCGTTTAAGTGCAGTATAGCAAGGGAAACAAGCCCCAATTTTAAAATGATGATTAGAAGTTTAAACAGTGACACGGAAGAGTTTCTCCTACCTTAGCAGCAGAAACTGTCTCTTGTGTGTTGTACCAAAAAGTACTCACCTGAATAAAATGTGTTGATTTTGGCAAGTTCTTTTTCACAGGTTTGGAAAAATTTTTCTTCAAACTTGGCAAAATATCTCTTTACTGTGTCCTCATCTGTAACTGAAAGCAAAGAAAACAATAAATTTAACGTCCAAAGGCCAATTAGGAAAACTAGAAAAATAAAATTTAAAGATACTACTCTTAGTCTTCAAAATGACAAGAATATACGTATTTCTCTGAAAAAATGAATGGTGAGTCATATTAAGAAAAAGACTAATCAAAGGCCTCTTCACAGGAACATAATCATTTTGTAATTGAATGAGACTCTCTAAATCTCTACTATAATAAATCTATGGTGATGGAGAAAATAAGTGTTGTAAGACTTCAGAAAAGGAAGACACTACTGTAGACAGAGGTGATCAAGGAAGATTCAAGGTGTTGGGAGTTGAGGTGAGTAGGATACAGCAAGAGAGTAGATTAAATATTTCAGGGAGAAAAAAATGCAACATAAAATAAAGACATGAATATGTAATATGTTTCTGGAAAAATGAGTTGATTGTTCTAACTATATTAAATTGCTATCTATTCATTTTTACTTTAGCTGCATCAGACACAGACAAAAAGATACAGACTGATGATTATAAATTAGATATTCCAAACCTTCAATTGCTGGGTAGGAACATAAATGAGTTGAGCAAGTGGGTGATTGTGCAAGTGTAGTGATAAATGACAACTGACCCCTTCAGGGTAAGGAGTGGTATGGATTCTGGCAAACTGGAGAGCACATGCCCATCTAGTTTAGTTGCTGCCATGTGGTGATATGGAGCCCAGGTTGTCAGATCTTCCAATTTTTCAGAAGAAGCCATAAATCTAGATATTTTAAAAACACTATGTGAGCCAATCAATACATGTCTCTGCAGGTTAGTCCACTTTGTGAGTTCTGTCATGTAGCATACCGATTTACTGAATCCTATAAGTACAGATATATGTAGCTTCAGGAAGCCCCAAGCCTAAAAGGGTATGTAAAAGGGTATGTTTCTTGCCCAAGTGAGATATGACTAGATTCTAGGTGCTAATCATAATAGAGAACTATCCTATTTCTGGATCTCTGGAGCACTCTAAGCTTGAAATGTCTAGAAAAAGTATAGGTTCTTTTATGTCCCCTATAAGCTCCAAATCTTAGTGCAATCCCAGAAACCCTTAAATAATTCACCTGTCCAAGAATAAGTGAAATGGTATTTCCCTGAGTAATATGCAACACACACACACACACATACATTCATTCATAGTACCAAAAATATTTTAAAGAAAAACAAAAGCTTAAAATGAAGTTTTAAAAAGCATGTCAAATCTATTAAACAACACATATGTAAAAAAATTAGCACTACACAAACTCTTAACTTTTATTTATATATATCCACTTCCCTATCTCTTATGCTTTAGAACAGATAATGCAGGATTCTATTGATTTTGTAGTAAACAAGGGATGGCCACTTTAAGTCCCTCATGTAAGCTCAGCAATTTAGGTACAATAAAGGCTACAGCTGCCACAGGCCACTGAGAATTATTTTTTCACAGTGTAAAGCAGGTCAAAGCTTTTATTTAAGTTGACCTTGAGTTAAAGATGCCTCGTGGTAACAGATGCTGCTCTTATAATAGCATCTAGCTATAGATGATTTAAAATAAGAGTAACATGTTATTCTACTAATTACCTACTTTTTAAATTTTTTTATTTTATTCTCTATTGTATTGTTAGGAGAGAAAACACAAAAGCAAAAAAGGGGTTTGGTCATATTTACTTTGCTTCTCCATTAACAGACAATTTTCATTAACATAAAGTGATGGAAAAAAACAAAGCTGTTCAGCAAAGTGATTTAAACATAGATTCTGTTTTAAAAATAATTTTAACATATATGAATACTTATATAGAGGTTCCATATTCAGCAACATGAACTATTTAAAATATTACTAAGCACACAGAAACAAAAAAGATCTAAGCCTCTCAGAAACTAAAACATATGTAATAAATTTTATGTATTAAAGCATGAACATTCTACCCATGAATCAATCTTGTATGAATTCTTCATTTTCTCGATTTAGAGAATGTTTTATCTAAAATACCAGCAATCTGTTATCTAGTTTTCTAGTTCACATGTAACTCAGCCACAAATCAGAAGAGGGTAGAGTAAGGTTATAGCAACACCAGGAAGTAACAGCAAACAGAGAGAAAAGAAGAAAAAAATTATAGATAAAAATAGCTGAGCCAGCCCAATGGCTTAGTGGTTAACTTCGCGCACTCTGCTTTGGCGGCCGGGGGTTCACAGGTGCAGATCTCAGGCAAGGACCTAGACATCGCTCATCAAGTCATCCTGTGGCGCCATCCCATATACAAAATAGAGGAAGATGGGCACAGATGTTAGCTCAGGGCTAATCTTCCTCAGTAAAAAGAGGAAGATTGGTAACAGATGTTAGCTCAGGGTCACTCTTCCTCACCAAAAAAAAAAAAAAAAAAAAAAGTAAGAGTAGCTGTGTGAAATAAATGAAGGAAAATGTTCTTGTCATCTCAAATTTCAAAAGACATAGTAATCTACTGTAATCAGAAGTACCCTATTGGTAAAGGAATTAAAAAAAACACAACAAAAAGAACAGAATAGAAAGTTTAGAAATAGATCTACATATAGAGACTTAGATAAGATAAAGAGGGCTTCAAATCAGTGAGAAAGAATGGACTATATAACAAATAGGATTGAGTCAATTGGCCATCCATTTAAATAAGCTCCAAATGGTGTTAAAGAAACAATATTATAAAACATTACAAAAAAATTTAAGTAACTCTACCTGGGGACGGGCTTCCTAAACACTACACAAAACAGAGGCCATAAAGGAAATAACTGACAATCTCGCAAAATGAAAAATCTGCATTTCACAAGATACAATAAGCAAAGTTAAAAGACAAACAACAGACATGGAAAACATATCTGCAACATTTAAAATAAAAGACTCACATGCAAAATACGTTTTAAAAAATTCTAACAAATCAATATTAAAGATAGTCCATAAGAAAAATGGGCAAATTAGAGCAATTCATGGAAAAATACAAATGGCCAATGAACAAATGAAAGGATGCTCAACATCCCAGATATCAGATAAATGCTACTTTAAAATAACGGAATATAACTTTTCAACCATCAGATTGGAAGCAATTTTAAAATACTGATGTTATTTTGGGGATGGTGAAGGTAACTAAACACTCTCACTCCCTGCTGGTGGGAATATAAATTTTCCTTTTAGGAAGACAATCAGACAGTAGCTATCAAAATTTTCAGTGTATTCAATCCCACATGTAGGAAATATACTGTAAAGGAATCTCTGCATAAATGGATATATCTGCAAGGATGTGCATGCACCATTATTTTTAATAATGACAAAGAAAACAAAGTGCTGTCCAACAAAAGGAGAATAGTTAAATAAATTACTATAATATCATATAACACTATGCAGCCATTTAAAAAATGATATACATACATCCTGATATATATGAAAATCCCAAGACATATTGCTGAGGAAAAAGTTTAAATAACAGAATATGTACAGCATGATCTCATTTATGAAAAAATGTGTGCATAAATTAATATTCATATGTACATTCATAGAAAGAAGATTGGAACAATGCATGTTGAACTGTTAACTGTGGTTATCTCCTTTGAAAGAGGAGTAGGTATGAGAGGGATTCTCGCATTTTACTATCTACACTTATTGTATTGTTTGAATCCATTACCACGAAATGTATTCATGAAGGATAAATAAATTATATTGTATAAATAAAGGGTATTATTAACTGGAAGAAAGAAACATGTCACATCCAAATCTTTAAATTATACATAGTAAAACCTAACAAGCGTAGCTATTTGAAAAGAGTATCTATATCAGAATTTAGAGGTACACAGAATGATTAAGCCTTTCAACTTCAGTTATGAGTTGGTAGAATGCTGATTTACAAAACATCAATTTCTATTATAAGATGCTTCCTATAACCTATCTGATGAAACAGTAACTCTAAATTGGAGAAACAGAGAATTTCCGTGTTCAGAAATCAACTAGCCCAATTCCCTTGATTTATAGGTAAGGAAATACAGGTGTAGAGAGCCTAAATAACATGAGGGTTTTTTTACCCAGTAACAATGTAAGTTTTATAGAGACTCAACTGTATTTTCTTATTATAAAATAAAGAATATCAAAGTGACTATTATGTATTACACGGGTGTTATGGACTGAATTGTGCCCCCGCCCCCATCAAATTTATGTCTTGAATCTCTAAGCCCCAATGTGACTGTATTTGGAAATAGGGCCTTTGAGGAGGTAATGAAGGTTAAACGAGGTCATAAAGGTGAGGCCTTATTCCAATAAGACTGGTGTCCTTATTAGAAGAAGATGACCAAAATGACACCTCATGCCTATCAGAATGGCCACCATCAAAGAGACAAGAGATAACAAATGCTGGTGTGGATGCAGAAAAAAGGGAACACTGTGCACTGCTGGTGGGAATGTACTGTAAATTGGTGTAGCCACTATGGAAAACAGTATGGAGGTTACTCAAAAAATTAAAAATAAAACTACAAAATGATCCAGCAATTCCAATTCTGGGAATATATCCAAAGCAAATGAAAACACTAACTTGAAAAGATACCTGCACCCCCATGTTCACAGCAGCATTATTTACAATAGCCAAGACACGGAAACAACCTAAGTGTCCATTGATAAATGAATGGATACAGAAGTTGTGGCATATATACAATGGAATATTATTCAGCCATAAAAAATGAGGAAATCCTACTATTTATGACAACATGGATGGACTCTGAAGGTATTAAGTGAAATAAGTCAGACAGAGAAAGAAAATTACTGTGTTATGGGAGCTCAAAATTGGCCACTCAAATATATCTCTTTACTTTGATTATTTTCTCTGAAAGAAACTTTAATCTTCCCCCAAATTTAGGCCTAAAAGTGACAGACTGGGAGGGCTCTTGCTAAGCCCATTCTTTTCAAAGTTCTGTTTACCAAAACATTTACATTTATAAGGGAAATCTCCATTTGTAAAGGTATCTCTCTGTACTGGGAAA